GATGAGGGGGCTTGTTTAGGAAGGTGATGATGAGGTGGGGAAAGGTGTACAGATTTGAGAAAAATATGTACGATAACATTGGAAGGCGTTAGTGATGAATTGGACTTTGGGAATGAGGAATAAGGAAGGGTTTTTGGTTTCTGCTGGTGCAACAGGAGAAAGCCAGAGCCCACCCGAGAGACAGGAACACTGCTGGTGTGGAGCGGGGAGAGGATGGGCTGAGTCAGGCAAGTTGGGGTTGAGTTGCCTGTGAGCTACCCCAGGGTGGGTGGTGGGAGGGTAGTCACAGGACCCGCCCACCTTTAGTCTCACTGCTCAGTCTTTCCTCTCCCCTCCAAAGGGGACTGTCAGGTCAGTCAATTTTAAGGGTCCATCTGGGCCAAGCCCCTGCAGTCCTCTCTGGGGATGAAAAGGGGTCAGGCTCTTCCCCTGTCTTCAAGGACCTCACGTTTAAGAAAAAGACGGAGGGAGCATAATCTCCATTCAGTGTGATGGAGGGAATGCAGGGGCTGTGGGCGCAGAGAGGAGACCTTGATCTGCCTTGAGCCCAGATTGGTTACCAGGGCCACCTGCGGCCACGTGGGACTATCCATCATTCCCAGAGGGTTCTTGCTTCCATGCCTTTGCTCCTGTGGTTTCCTCTTCCTTGAGTGTCCTTGTCTCCATTCCCATCTGTATATATCCTATCCATCTTCAAAATGTCCCAATGCCTTTATCTTCAAGGAGCCTTTTTTTTTCTGCCTCCCAATTGCAATCTTTCTACTGTACGCCCAAAGCACGCTGTGTACATCTGTTTAAAACTCTTGTCACACAGTGTTGAGGCAGTTGCGTGTGTCCAAATCTGGTGCCCCAGCAGCCAGAGAGATCTCCCAGGCAGCGGTGTGATTCTTCCGTGTCCCTAGGGCTGGGCACTGATTGGTATCTCCGCAGTCGCAGTATATGCCAAGTAAGGGGCGTTTTCTCTGCGGTCCTTGTAAATATTTGGGCATGCTCAGTGTCGCCTATTATCCCCTTTCTAGAACCAGTCCCCTCACCCACTACACTCCCCAATCTTCTGTTGTCTCCTCACTTCCGTAGTCTTTGACCTCCCAGGTCCTTCTCTCCTCCACTCCTTGACCCCCAATCTTTACCATCTAATAGCCACAGCAGCATCAGTCTGGTTTCAGCAAAGAAATAGACTCAGGCTTTGTGTGAGAGCTATCAGAGAGCCGGGGACTTGGCTCCTTTAAGTGCCCAACCAGGAGGCGTGGCCTGCGGAGAGCAGGCCCGAAAGGAGGAGCGGCTCCTTTAAGAAGCGGCCCATCGACTGAGCAGAGGCCCCAGCCAGCAGGCCGGGGTGCGGTCGCTTTGGGGGCTGCGGTAACACCCGGAGCACCCCTATTCCTCGAAGCGTGGCGCGTCTGCTTTAATCAGGGTGAGAGGTTGGGGGTGGGGGACGTTACATCAGCTACTACGTGTGGACCTCTCAGCTGCCGAGGAGGCGGCGGTCCCGCCCCCGCCCCCTGCGGTGGAAAAGTACCGGGGTGCCCAGGTACCCGCCCCCTCGCCCCGCCCCGGGCTGGCTCCGGCACTCTCCAGGCCCTCCGGGTGAAACCCCCTCCCGTCTGGCCCGGGCCCCTGGCCCCGTCTCTTCTCCCTCCCGGCCTTGGCTTCGGGGTGCGGGGTGCCGGTTGGGGTGGGCGCCTCTGGCTGCTAGGCCCCTGCCCTCACCTGTGGCCACCCGGGCGCGCCCTACAGGCGCCCAGAATGAAGGTTGGAATGGGGAAGGCACAGATTCTTCCCAGGGTGGCAGCCTGCAAAGAACTCCACGGCCGTAGTCTTTTCTTTTCCAAAGCCATGGCTGAGAGTCGCGGACAAAGAGCCAGAGGGCGCCGGACTCTCTGGCATGGTTTTCTGGGACTGGCGAGCGCGCGGGGACCCGCACGGGGCTAGCGTTTGGGCAGGCAGATAGGGAGACAAGCGGGCTGGAGAGACTAGATAGGCAGCCAGGGTGGCCGGCAGTGCGAAGAGAAGAAGCCGGAGCTAGCATGCTGAGCGCAAACACAGTCTGTAGGTTCCCGGCCCCGGTAGACCCCCGGCGCGCAGAACTACTGGCGCCCAGACAAGCCGCGACACACTCTGGTTCCAGCTCTACCCGCACAACCTCGCGCCCGCCACCCTCCATCAAGCGGGCGTCCGCACGCAGCGCCCCCACTCTGGGAGCAGCCCCCCTCCTTTCCTGCCTGCTTCGGCTCCTTGGTGACAGTGGTGACACCCAGACGCGCACACCTACCCCGACCTTAGCGGCGAGACAGACATTCCCGTACGTGCACCCACACTCTTAACTACAGATGCCTGTATGCATGCGCGATCTCTCTCTCTCTCTCTCTCTCTCTCTCTCTCTCACACACACACACACACACACACACACACACACACACACACACACGTACACGTCCTGGGGCTCAATCCCGAGGAGCCATCAAACACCCAGACCGACAGCAGGACCGGCAGAGGTGCGGGCTGCAGCGCCCCCTTCCCCCAGCCCCCTTACCATGCTGCAGCCCCTGGCCCAGGCGTGCTGGGTCCGCACCGCGGTGCGCCCAGGTGGCTTTCTTAAAGGGAAAGTTGCATCAGCTTCCCGAGGTTTAGTGCCGCCCCGAGTCCGCCCGCCCCGCGGCGCTGCTCTCGGCTCCTCCAGTGCTTGTTGTGTTTTGGTTTCGGGGAGGCGGGGACCAGGAGTTTGGTGAAAGTTTGGAGAGTGGGGAGGGCTTGGGAGCCCTAGCCAAGTCCCTCCCCTCCCTGAACAGCTCCCCTGGCTGCCCAACCCTCCCTCCACCCCCACCTCCCCGCCCCCCGCATCCCCACCCTTCCTGGCGGACTTCTCAGGCTCCTCCTCCCAGGGAATAAAATTACAAATCGCTCCAGCTTTCAGATGATTGATCCCCTCTAACCCCTGGGAGGGGGCCCCACAAAGGAGCCCCCTTCTCCGTCCCTGCCTCTCTGCCTTCCAGCTGGGGCCCTTGGAGAAAGCAGATGTCGTCCCCTTCGGGCTAGGCTGGAATGAAGCCAGAAGGCCTGGGGCACTTCGGGGGGCCCGGGCTCGAGTTAGCCTGCCAGGCCCCCAGCCTTCTGCGCCTGCGTTCCCCCTAGAGAGAAGTGAGAGCAAATTCCATTCCCTTTGGAGCTGCGCGGCTAGGGACTGTGGGCACAGCTGGGTAAGGCCTGGGTCCTACTTAGAACTGGAGGTTTGGGAGTAATCTTTTCTCCAGGGACCCTCCTTTGACCACTGGCTTGGTCAACCCTACTCTGGCCATTGTGTTACGTGGGCTGCAGACACAAACCTGGGCCCCTTCTTCCCTCCCTGGGGAGACAGACCAAGGTTCTACCTTCAGCTAAAGAAGACTTTGCCAAAAGGAGCTTTGGCGAGCCTCAGTTTCCTCCCTGGAGAAATGGAGAGGACAAGCAAGGAAATGCAGATACTTACATGTGAAACATTGCTGCGGGCTGCCTCTGGGACAAATGCTTGGCAGGGATAGAAAGGGGCTCCCCCATTTGCTTACCTTGTGAGAGCCTCCAGCTTTTGGGGAGAAGAGCCAGTAAACACTGGCCATCAGAACAAATACTGTTGTCCCTTCCTGAGTGGGACACCTGCTTGGGAAGGGACCACCTGGAGGATAGGCTCCCCTCTGCACCCTGAGTCTGTTCCTCACTGTTATCTGGCCAGGAAACAAGTTTTATTCGTTCCCTGGGACAACCAGCCTGCAAGAAGATGCGGCACACCCTGTCTGGGTGTCGTCCTGCAAACCCAAACTTGCTGGTTCAATTCCCTGTCAGGGCACATGCCTGGGTTTCAGGCCACGTCCGCAGCTGGGGATGTGTGAGAGACAACAGATCCCCGTTTCTCTCGCAATGATTGTTTCTCTTCCTTTCCTTCTCCTCCCCTTTCCCTCTCTCTAGAAATAAATTAATACAGTAGTAAAGAAGAAGAAGAAGCTGCCGAGGCACATGTGCCAAACTTGCACGAGATCAGTTGACGAGGGAGATTGCCTTTATTAACTTACAGTCGGAGGCACTGAGGACAATAGCAGGTGTCAGGCACAGACCGACTGTGCACAACACTGACGTCCCCAGGGCCCTGCTATTTAGAATTGACAGCCTGGTGCTGTCGGAGCCTTGATCAGATCTGGGAAGACAGGCTGGTCCCATCAGCAAGATTTCCATTTTCACTTTGTCCCCACACCTGGTATGCATAACGTGTTTGGGATTTATCATCTCCTGTGAATGAACTGTGGGTGCTGTGTGTGTGCATGCACCTCTGCCCGAGCAGTCTGCTGTGTCTGTGGGTCTGCGTGGGAGGGTCTTATGGCAGAGTGACCGGGCGTGCACCACAGCAGTTGTGTGTGGTGGTGTGTGGATGTGCCGAGCTCTGGGGAGCAGGCAGATTTGATCCGAGCCCTCCTTGCCTCTCCTGCCAGGACATAAATTCAACTTCTGATCTCTCCCTCCCTCCTGAGGCTTGTCAAAAAGGGCCACCACACAGGAAGGCAGGAAAGAAGCTGTTGGAAGAGGCTCCCAATTAGCGGAGTGGGGACAAGGGAGAATGTGAGGCGGGGTGGGTGATGGCTTCCTTCCCTCTTGACTGAGGGTGGGAGGGCAGGTGGCGGGAAGAGGGCACTGTGTCAGTGAAAGTTCTAAAAGTTGTCACGGCCCAGGGAAAGTGGGGCTCCCCACCTCATACCTCAAGACACCATACAAGGGAGGCTGGAGGGTACTGAGATCAGGACCCCCAGTGGGGGCTCCCTCAGGCCAGGCTGGGGGCCGGGTGCTCAGGATCCAGCCTTCTGAGTCCTTGCCAAAGAGAGAGGAAGACAGAGTTTGAAATTAATCTGAGGTCAGGGAGGCAGCCTAGCACTTCAGCCCGTGGGGTGGTGAAAAGAGATTATCCCTGTGATGTTTAGGGAAGTTAGAGATACTGCCCACGAGGGTTTTGCTAGACAAACAGATGACATAACACAAAGTATATTTATGGATGTTGTATTTTGCCCATCGAGATCCAGAAAGGGTTTCAGGAAACCACACGGTGAGTTAAATCCCAAGAGGCTTGTGAGAAAAGATTCTAGTTTGAAAAGCCATCTCTACGAAACAGGGTCTGGAGCAGCTGTTTTTTCCCTGACCAGAACGAGGCCCCAAGGGAGGCAGGTCTGGGCTGAGCCCAGATCAGAGCTGGCCGTGGGCCAGCTGGCTCAGGGGGTGAGAAGGGCATGTATGTATAGTAGGGGGGATCAAGCCTGAGGACAGACGGGAGGACCGCTGGGGTCAGATATCTGGCCTGCTCTGGTCTGAGGCAGGGCGGCAGGAGAACTCGAGGCAGGCTGGGCCCCGCCCACCACGGGCCCAGAGTCTCCGGGCCTCCAGTTTCAGCGCTGTTTCCTTGGAGGCCGGTACCCAACCTCAGCTCCCCAGTACTGGTTGGCTTCCTCGTTTGTCTTCCACCTGCAGGAGGTCAAGGCCTCTGCTGGGACTCAGGATCAGTGCAGATGTGCATCTGGTGGAAATAGGGATGAGGCCAGACGTGGGTCACTTCTGGGGGGCGCTGCAGGAGCTGGTAGCATTGGGACCTCTGTGAAGGGTTGCTGGGAGCCCTGCTGAGAAGTGCGGGGAGGGTGGACACTGAGTTGCATACTGGTTTCACCAGTGGTCGCCACCTCCTTGGGGCCCCAGGAGCTGGAAAACATGATTGACAATGGGCTCAGCTGTCAGGTTCTTCCTCCCTTGAACTTGGAGCACAGTGGTCAGTGCCTGGCACATTCCCTCCCCTGTCCCAATGCAGAGGAACAAGTTAGATTGGGTCTAGATCCAAGAGCTGTCCCCAGGGCCCCATGTGCCCCTCAAGACACCGGGTTGTGCTTTCCCTGGCCCTGCCCCCGGGCGCAGCATCAGTCAACCCCCCCGGGCCCACAGCAGGGCTCCAGGTTGGACCTCAATGATTGCAGGTAAAATTAGGCACACAGGTGGAAACACTGACTTTGGCCCTGCCTGAGGGGACAGCCCTGACATCCAATCCAATGGCCAGACACCTAAATACCTTAGAGATCCCAAGACCAGAAGTCCCAATGTGAAGGGTGCCAGAGCTCCCCATGTTGTCAAAAACCCAAAACACAGAGTTCCCAATACCTAGTGCCCAACATCCAGGACACTCAAGCTTCCTAACACCCAACTTGCAGGGACCCAGTGTCCCAATTCCCAGGAAAAGAAGCCAGAGGGGAGGAGGTGGTGCCCGGGCACGACCCAAGTCCCTCCAGTGACTGGTGTTATTTGAGGATTGGCCGTCACCGAACCTGGGGCTGGTGGTGGTGTTGGAGGCCGCAGCACCACTTCCTCAGTGCTCCCTTTCTGGGTCTGGAGAGGGCAAGAGGGGCTGCAGGAGGGATGGCTTTTCCTCCAGCCCCTGCCCCACCCGGGTTTGCAGGACCTGTGAAATGAGAGCCCATTTACTCCCCACCTGTGAGTGTGCTGGGGTCGGGCTCATCTCTAGGAAGACTGTCACGGAAGAAAAGGGGTTCCTGCTCTTCCGTCTGGGTCCTATGGCAATAGGACTGTTGCTCTCTTGCTGGGGGTCAACACGTTTCTGTCTGTGGCTGCTGTGTGGCCAAGGGCACAGCTGTGAGGATGAATGGCTGTTGACGTGTGATGATGTTGGTGCGCGGCTGTGAGCATAGACTGTGTCAGCAAGCTGACATTTGTGACTGTCACAATGGGTCTGATTATGTCCATCTGTCCAGACATCATTATAAACCCTCTCTGCCTCACTGCTTTTCCAAGAGATGGGATGTAAAGCCCCTCTTCCCTAAGACCCCCAGGTTCTGAGGCTCAGGCCTCCCTGTGGGCAGCAAGGGGCTGATGCCCATAGTCACTGGCAGCAGGCCTGCAGACTCCTCCCAAAGCCCGTATGCCTGTCAGACCCAACGATTCTTTGGATTGGGAAGATAGGAAGAGTAGTGGCTATGAGTGGAGCACTGACACCCAAAATAGCCATCTACCCTGGGGGGAATCCTGTGACACCCCTCTGCCCAGTGTACCCAACCTGGCCTGCTGACCTGGAGCCTGAGTAGGGCTCCTGTCTGACTCTACTTCCCCCAATCTCACCTAAGTAAGCCCTTCAGAATGGAAGGAGGGACAGAGTAATTCTGTCATTACAAATTATGATATCACAGGGAATTATGACATCACAGGCACTGACACCAGGCTTAGGCGTAGGTGGTACATGGCTGGCTGGCTGGCTGGGTGGGGCTGCATCTGTAGGTACCTCCACACAACTCCCAGCAGCTGGGGATGGCAGGGCTGGATAAGGCCGTGTGCAAAGGCCCTGCCTTATCTGTCCCCCCCACATGCTTGATAAGCCTCTTACCATGGGCTGGCCCAGGGTGCAGGCAGGGAGCTGGCTGGAAGAGGGGCCAGGGTCAGCTGGAGCTGGCTGAGCTCCAGCACAGACAGCTGGGACCAGAGTCCTAGCAGAGCCCCAGGAGGAGGGAGGGGAAGGGTCCCCAGGAGAGCAATGTAGAGCAGGGGTTAGGAACATGGTTCTGAAGCCAGGCTGCCCACCCTCATGTCCTAGGTCTTCCACTTAATAAGGGGTAAACTGGGATCTTAGTTTCTGTAATAACCTGTAATTAGAATACTATTAGCAGTGACTCAATCATAGTATTGTTGTGAGGATTAAAGATGTGTGAAAGAAGCACAGAGGAGAGCTGGTGTACAGGAAACACTCATCTTCCGCCTAGGAGAGATCAGGAGGCTCCCCAGGAAGTGCCCACTTACCCAGAGCACGTCTGGGTGGCCTGGGCCTCACTGGGGTTTCCAGGAGCTGCACAGCCCATGGGGACACATTCCCACACCTTCCCAGTCTGCGCTCGCCTCAGGGATCCTTTCCAAGAATTCTGGCCTTTCTGGCATGGTTTCTTCTAGTAATCCCTGAAGACACCGTGGGGACCTGGGATCCTCTGGTGACAAGCCACATGTGGCAGTTATGACTGGATCCCCGGGGCACATCTGGCCAGACAAGACGCTGTCACTTGACTGGTTATTTTATGTCATCCTCGCATGAAGTTTACAAGGCAGGAACTATCTCCATTTCCTAGAACGAAACCTGAGAGAGAGGAAATAATCTTCCCGAGATTACAGAACCAGCGAGTGGGAGAGCTGGAAGTCGAAGCCAGGTCGGCTGGTCCCTAAAACCCACGCTCTCACCTTGCGAACATCATGCACACATGGCCGCGTGGTGGCCCAGCGGAGGCTTTATGTGCCGTACTGATGGTCTGAGTGAAACTGTGATTGGCTGTATGGCCACTGAATCTCTCCGACTCCCAGTTATAAAAGAGTGTGAATTGGTTTTGAGCACAATGAGGTGGAGTGTCACTTTGGTGTGGCTGCATGCGTTGCACAAGTATAAGCATGGTTGGGCTCGCCATTTGTGTTGTGTGAGATCAGTCTGCTTGTGTGTGGTGTACGTGTGTGTGTGGTGTGAGTGTGTGTGTGGTGTGCAGGGGCGTGGTGTGGCTGGCGGGACTGTGTCGGGGGAGGTGACAGAGGGCCCTGAGTTCCCAGCGCCCCTTGCCTTTGCCTTCCCAGGACACGCATGATGGATGACTCCTCGTGCCTGATGTGCTCCCGTGGGCCTGCCCTGTTCTCATTCTCCCCTCTCCCCTGCTTTTTTTTTCTTTTTTTGGAAGTAATGCAAATAGTACCACAAATGGAGTTGGTTTTCATTTTTTTTCCATGGGATATTTGTTGAAAGCATATTATAAACCTTTGTGTGATATCTCGGAAAAGTCATTAGAAAGGAAAGTAAACATGGCTATTCTAATTCTTTAATTTGAGCAGGTCAGTTCTCATTTGTTCTCAAGGTGGTAATCACAGATTCTGGGGGTCTCCAAGATCCTTACAGGGGATCCACAAGGCAAAAATCATTTTCATAGTAATACTAAATTGTTACTTGCTGTTTTCACTTTGCTGATATTTGTGCTGATGATGCAAGAGCAGCAGTGGGCAAGGCTGCTGGCACCCAGAGGGAATCAAGGCGTGGCTCCCAACTGTACTGGCAGTCCTTGCATTTGTCTCTGCCAGGATTCATGCACAGGAAAAAAAGGAGGGAGGGAGGGAGGGAGGGAAGGAAGGAAGGAAGGAAGGAAGGAAGGAAGGAAGGAAGGGAGGAAGGAAGGAAGGAAGGAAGAAAAGGGCTAGTTTCACTTAGAAATTTCCTTAGTGAAGCAGTAAAATTATTAATTTTAACTTTTAACCCTTGAGCACATGTCTTTATACTTTGCGTGACGAAGGGGAAGTGTATAGAAAGCATGTCTGCTGCTGACTGAAGGGTGATCATTATCTCAAGGAAAAGGACTTACGAGGCAGAGTTGTGAGCCGAAAGTCACTTCTTTACTGAACACTAGTTTTACTTAAAACAACAAATGACAAAAAAAATGCAGACTTGGACATTTTGGATACGTTTTCTGGAAAGCGAATGGAGTGAGCCTGTCACTTCAAGGGGGAAAAAACTATTCGTGTTTGTTGCCAATGATAAAATTAAAACTTTAAAATGAAAATTAGAATTTGGAAAACTTCTATCTGCTACTGTAAGTTTGAAAGCTTCTCAATTTTAATGAGATTGGTAATGATATTAACAAATGCATGTGGCTTTTTTTTTGCCTTGTGACATGAAATGTGTCAATATTTGGAAGATCTGCATAACTTAGTGATTCAATATTCATCACTGAACCAAATGGCTAGTACTAGAATCAAGTCATGCATAGATAAAAGATTTATTCGAAGTGCAAAGCTACCCAATAGAACTTCCGGTCAAGATGGCAGTGTAGATGGACATAGGTCACCTCTTCGCACAACCACATCAAAATTACAACTAAAATAGACAACAACCATCATGCAGAACCTTCAGAAATCAAGTTGAATAGAAGCCTGACAACTACAGATTAAAGAAACCACATCCATGCACACGGGTAGGAGGAGGGCAGATGTGGAATGGGCTGGTCCCTCACACGTATGGTGGATAAAAATTTGGGAGGTATATCTCGGGAGTGAGGAGTCCCAGTCCCATACCAGGCCCCACAGCCCAGGGTACCAGTGGCAGGAACGTAAATCTGCATAGCTTCTGGCTACAAAACCCAGCAGGGATTGAGTTGCGGAGAAACTGCTGGAGCCTCAAGCAGTTCCTCTTAAAGAACCCACAAAAGAATTCACCTACTCAGACTTACTCCCTCTGAGCTCCAGCAGAGGGGGCAGCAGCTTGAAAGGCACTAGGGGCCTACAGGGAGGAACTGAAGTGGCTGGCATCAAGGTGAGCAGAGGCCACAGTCAACTTTTCTGAGCCTTCCCCCCGAAGAGCCAGCAAGCTGGTGCCATATCTGTGACTTCATCAACCTGGCTAACACTGTTTGACTCACCTTGGAGATCCCCAGAGATTCCACCCCACCTAAATTACGGGCCCATCCAAGGTGCTTTCCCACATAAATGGCTGGTCTTAGCTCACAAGTGGCAAACACAAGGCCTATGGACCGAATCTGGCCCTCCACCTTGTTTGATCCGGCCTGGTACCTTGTTTCTACTCGGCGGCAGTGCCAAGCTCTCGCTTAACTTTTAAGGAGTAGTTACAGTCATATAGTCTTAAAATTACATTTGGCCCTTTGAAGGCAACTGCGAGGCTGATGTGGCCCCCCAGTAAAAATGAGTTTGATACCCCTGTCTTAGCTCATGCTTCACAACTTCCTAAATCCTATCAAACAAGCAACAGCTGGCCTCAGTGAGCTTCAGGCCAGACACTAGCAGCAGCCAGACTAGATTCACAGCTTGGCTTCACCTGGGAATCACCAAGCCCAACACAAGTAGCAGTAATCTCAGATTGCTTTATATCTTAGGCAGGGTGACCAAGGCAAAATACAGGTGGGGGCTGGCCTTGGCCTGCATCACCTGGGAAACCCCAGGACCAGCATACCCAGTGGACAGTTACAGACCATGTCAAAGCACCACCACTCTGCCCCTGCATAGCTGATCCTCCATGGAGGGTGGTGGTTGGTGGTCATAGCCAGTCCTTGCAGCTGACTGGCTTGGGTAAATCTCTCCCATTGATCTGCCAACAGCAACCAAAGCTCAACAACAAGAGGAGGGCGTACTCATCCCACATGAAGGGTGCACCTCGAGTACCCAGCTTGGGTGATAGGGGAAGCTGTGCCACTAGACTCTACAAGACACCTATTACATTAGGCCAGACTACCAAGACATGGAGTCAAAGGAGGTCTACCTAGTATATAGAGACAAACACAGGGAGGCTGCCAAAACAGAGACAAACAAACATGACCCAAATGAAAGAACAGATCAAAACTCCATAAAAAGAGTGAAATGAAATAGAGATGAACAAGCTATCAGATGCAGAGTTCAAAACATTGGTTATAAGGATGTTCAAGGAACTTAGTGCAGACCTCAGCAGCATAAAAAAGATCCAGTCAGAAACAAAGGATGTACTCATTGAAGTAAAGAACAATTTACAGGGAACAACAGTAAAGTGGATGAAGCAGAGAATCAAATCAATGATTTGGAATATAAGGAAGCAAAAAACAACTATGCAGAATGACAAGAAGAAAAAAGAATTGAAAAAAATGAGCATAGCATAAGCAGACTCTGGAACAACTTCAAGAGGTCAGACATTCTCATTTAAGGTTACCAGAAGGGGAAGAGAAAGAGCAAAGAATTGGAAATCTATTTGAAAAAATAATGAAAGAAAACTTCCCTAATCTGGTGAAGGAAATAGACATGCAAATCCAGGAAGCACAGAGAGTCCCAAACAAAATGGATCAAAAGAGTTCCATTCCAAGACACATCATAATTAAAATGCCAAGAGTTAAAGATAAAGAGAGAATCTTAAATGTAGCCAGAGAAAAGAAGTTAGTTACCTATAGCAGAGATCCCATAAGACTGTCAGGTGCTTTCTCAAAAGAAACTTTGCTGGCTAGAAGGGAATGGCAAGAAATATTCAAAGTAGTGAAAAGCAGGGACCTACAGCCAAGATCGCTCTACCCAGCAAAGCTATCATTTAGAATTGAAGGGCAGATAAAGAGCTTCCCAGACAAGAAAAATCTAAAGGAGTTCATATCACTAAACCATTATATCATGAATGTTAAAGGGACTTATTTAAGAAAAAGAAGATCAAAACTATGAACAACAAAATGGCAAAAAATACATATCTATCAGGAATTGAAGCTAAAAATTAAACTAAGCAAACAAGAATAACATAGACAGAATCATGGAAATGGAGAACATTTTGATGGTTGCCAGATGGGAGGGAGGTGTAGGGGAATGGGTGAAGAGGTGAGGGGCTTAAGAAATACAAATAGGTAGTTACAGAATTAGCCATGGGGATGTAAAGTACAGTATAGGACATGAAGTAGCCAAAGAACTTACACTCATGACCCATGGACATGAACAATGGTGGGGAGGATTGCCTGAGGGATTGGGGGGGTGCTGCATGGAGGGAGCAAAGGGAAAAATTGGGACTACTGTAATAGCATAATCAATAAAATATAATTTAAAAAAATTCCTGTCAAGATACCAATAACATATTTCACAGAACTAGAACAAATATTTCAAAAATTTATATGGAACCACAAAAGGCCTTAAATAGCAACAAAGATCTTGGGAAAGAAAACAAAGTATATCAAACTATACTATAAGGCCATAGTAAGCAAAACAGCGTGGTACTGGCATAGATCAATAAAAACAGACATATAGATTAATGGAACAGAATAGAGAACCCAGAAATAAACCCACACCTTTAGAGTCAATTAATATTTGACAGAGGAGGCAAGCACATACAATGGGCTAAAGATAGTTTACTCAATAAATGGTGTTGGGAAAATCGGACAGATATACACAGAAAAATGAAACTAGACCACCTTCCCACGCCACACACAAGAATAAACTCAAAATGGATTAAAGACTTAAATGTTAGAACCGAAACCATAAAAATCCTAGAAGAAAACATAGGCAGTAAATGGGACTACAACAAACTAAAACGTTTTTGCACAGCAAAGGAAACCATCAATAAAATAAAAAGACAGCCTACTCAATGGGAGAATGTAATTGCTGATATACCTGATAAGAGGTTAATATCCAAAATTTATAAAGAATTTATAAAAACATAAAAAAACAATCCAATTAAAAAGTGGGCAAAGGACCTGAATAGACACATTTCTGAAGAGGACATACAGAAGGCCATAGATGTATGAAAAGATGCTCAACATCACTAATCATCAGAGAGATGCAAATTAAAACCACAGTGAGATACCATCTCACACTGGTCAGAATGGCCATCATCAATACATCAACAAACAACAAGTGCTGGTGAGGACGTGGAGAAAGGGGAGCCCTGTGCACTGTTGGTGGGAAAGCAGCTTGGTGCAGCCACTGTGAAAGGCAGTATGGAGTTTCCTCAAAAAAATTAAAACTATAATGCAGTGATTCCACCTCTGAGAATTTATCAGAAGAAACCCAAAATCCTAATTCAAAAGAATATAAGCACCCCTATGTTCATTGCAACATTATTTACAATTGCCAAGATTTGGAAGCAGAGCAAGTATCCAACAGTAGACGAGTGGATAAAACAACTGTGGAACATCACACAATGGAGTTCTACTCAGCTGAAAAGGAGAAGAAAATTTTACCCTTGGCAACGGTATGGATGGACCTGGAGAACATGATGCTAAGTGAAATAAGCAAGTTAGAGGAAGACAGATATCAATGATTTACCCACATGTGGAGTCTAATGAACATACTGAACTAACAGGCAGAACAGAGACAGACTCACAGGTAGAGAGAAGGCTGACAGCTCTGGTGGAGGGGTAGGGGGTGGAGGTATGGAGCAAAAAAGAAAAAGGACTCCTGGACACGGACCATAGTGTGGCGATTTCAGAGGGGAGGTGGGTGGCTGGGAGTGGGAAAGGGCATAAACGGTAACAGAAAAAATAGAATAAAAATACAAAGAGCAAAATAATGTAATAAACTTATCCTTGGGTAAGGAGATTTTTAAAAAAATAATAAAAATAACATCTTGTTCACCTCAAACTTACACAATGTTATATGTTAATTATATTTCAATTTAAAAAAGGAGTTCTTATTTGTTTTTGTCCTAGATCTTTGTTATTATTAATGTAGTACCGAAAATAAGCTTATTTTATTGCTTCCATTACAGTGCATACAAACTACAGATGTCCAGCCTGTTCCCAGTGTGGCTGGCGACGTCCTCTCTCCATCGGGGAATGTGTGTGTTGTTACCTTCTCCCTGTGCAGCCTGGTCTTCCTCGGTGAGAAGAGTTGACCGCTCCTGCCTCCGGGGCAGACCACAGCAGCGGGCTGGCCCGCCTCTGCCCACTCACTGGTGTTCCTGCTTCGTTTCCTCTCTTCTGTTTCTAAGCACACTTTTTTTTTAAAAGCTACTATTTATTGAGCACATCCTGTGTTAACTTTAACTCATTTTCTCACTTAATCCTCACCACGACTCTACAAGCTAGACGCTCTTTTATGAACAAGAAAACGCAACCTCAGAGGGGTTAAGAGAAATCTCGAGGAACGGCATTGACCTTTGATTCCTTTAAATGTATACCTTCAAAAGCTATCCATCTCAAGATGAGTACTTCAACAACTGCTTTCAGTACCGCAGCTCCACTGCCTGGAGAGACCAGCACTGATCCTCACTGAGCCCCCACTGAGTCCTCACGTTGGGGTCCTTGCCTCTGAGCCTCCACGGAGGCCATGTCATGTTTAGGGTTTGTCTGCCCCAAGCCTGGGAGACAGCCCCTCTCGGGGGCAGCAGAGGGCGTGGAGCCTGGAGGTGAGGGGAGCTGGTGGAGAGGGGCCTGCACTGACAGAAGCAGGAGTGAGACGAACCTTGGGCTTTCAGCTCCTGCCATGGTCAAGAATGTTCCCAGACAACACTGACCTCTCACCCCAACCCACCTCAGCTCAAGGATCCACTGTCCCCACCACCCCCACTTCAAGAACCAGCAGCTGCCTCTGGAGCAACTGGGGCATCGCCATGGCAACCGGGCCAGGCCAGCATGGGGTGGGGTGGGGCTGCTTTAAAGCCCTTTAGTGCCCCCAAACACAGGCCCCATTCTCTCATATTGGTAATGCTCAGGGGTCCTGTGGATTAGAGGGTCCAGAAAAGGAGGGATCATCCACTCCCCACCACGTCTCTCAACTCAGAGGAAGATGTTTCTCTGGTCTCAGCCGGGTTCTTTCTGAGACAGTCAGAGTGGGAAACTCCAGCTCTCTGTCCAGACCCCGCCCCCCAGCCCTCACTAGCGCTCCAGGTGCTGTTGGGCGCCTCTTCCTCCTCCTGGCATCCTGGGGGCAGAACTAGAGGGGAAGCTGGGAGGGTCTGACCTCTTGCCTCTCCCCGTGCCCCTGTGGCATGTCCGGGATGAGATCTTGTCAGTGGAGCACCTGATGGAGGAGCAGAAGAATAAACGTGGTGGATAGGGCTGCCCAGGGCTTGGTGACCTAGACAGAGGCCTTGTGTGGGCGATTAGCTGTCACACTGGGTCTAAGCTCCTTACCCTCAGAATCTGGCCTCCCCACCCCCAGGTCTAATCCAGAGGTGGGGGAGGGACCTCGGTGGGTCCCCAGTGACCCATTTAGCATAACCAGCTGTGGCCTTGTAGGGGCTGGACCTCTTATTGTCCCTGTCTCTGTGAGTCTCCCTGTTTCTTTGGGTTTCTCTGCCCCCCCCCTTGCCTTGTGTTGTGTGCCTGTGTTTCTGTCTTCCTGCCTCCATGAATATTTTGTGCCTCGTGTCTGTGGGGAACTCTGTGGCCCTGACTCCATGAAACCGTGGTCGATGACAGAGGGCAGGGACCACTGGGTGCTGGTTTACACAGATCTGTGACAGGACAGTGGATGACAGGAAGTCTTAAGACACAGACTGGTAGGTGCCATGAGGTTTTAGACAACACAGAGTCTAGGTAACAATGCACTGTAGGTGACCCCGGGTGTGAGAAATACAGTGTTATTTGTAGTTGACACACAGATTCGGTGACCCTGTGTTGTGGTTAGCACAGGAACTGAGTGACTCAACAAGAGCAATTCAGAAAGAACGTGGGAGGCAGGAGAGTGGCTGCGGTGGTTTTCGACCGGGGGGGCAACCCTCCCTCCCTGGGGACATTCCGCTGCGCTGCAGATACGTTTGGTTGTCACGACTAGGGGGAAGGTGTGCTACTAGCATCTCTGGAGAGAGGCCAGGATCCTGCTCAAGATCCCACAAAGCACAAGAGAGCCCCCACCCCCAACAAAGAATGATCTGGCCCAGTTTGAAATCCCAGCGCTTACACTCTGAGACGCTGGGCAAACTTTCTCATCTCTAACCCAAGTAGTGCCTTCCTGAGGTTCTTGGGATTACTGAGTCGATAATTGCACAGTGTTTAGAGTAGAGCTGGCATGTAAGTGCTGTTTATCGACTCCTCTTTGGAGAGTAGATCTAGATTCGGGGACTTAAATATTCTCTCCCTTTCTGCTTAGAGCTTCTACGTCAGACAGGCTTCTTCCACTGCAGGAAACCACATGGCCAGCAGCAGCCAACGTCACGCCAGTTTATGGATATTGGAGGCCAAGACACAAGTCCGGAAGACCCGCCTGATTGGTTTAGCTTGCTCCTATGATCCGACCATGCTCTGTGGGAAGCCTTCACTGAGACCAGAACCACCTGACTGGGGAGGGAGCATTGTTTTCCACAGGGAGGAGAAGCTGTTATGGAGTAGGGAAGGGCACCTGAGCAGGCCAAGGTGCTGGATGCCCCTTCACAGGGGTTGTGGATGAATCTGGGTTGATGCCCTGTCTGATCCATTAGGGCTCTAGGTGGCGCTGTGGAGCACAATGGCTTCTGTGAGCGAATCTGTTCAAACTTTTCAAAAGCAGTCAATCCTGTTGACCACACTGTTTCTTACAACACTTTTTTTTCTCTAGCTTTTTTTGACAATGCAATGTCTCGATTTCCCTCTTTCTTCTCTTCTGGCAGCTTCTCCGTCTCCTTTCTGGTTTTACCAAGCCTAGAAACGGCGGAGGCGCTCAAACTCAACCCCAGACTCTGCATTCTCAGCCCTTTCAAAGGGGCTTATGGTGCCATCTCACTGGTAGTTTGAAGCTGCCATTATAGGAGTATTGACACCACAGAGAATGAAATGCTACAAATCAGAGTCCCTTGTTTTTGTTGGAGAAACAATGGTCAAACGGTAGCCAGCACACCACTGTCCGTCGACACAAAAACTCGGTTTCACCTAGACCTTGTCTCACCCACAACCCTGTGTCACTCACACCCTTTCTCAGCCATAACCCCGTCTCACACACACCCCAATGCCACACTGAAACTCAACCCCAGTGTAAATAACCCTAAACCCATTTTCAAGCGGAGCGTGTGTGTCTCGCGGTCATTTACCCTTCTGAGTTCTCTGGACACTGCCATCAGCAACGCAGCATCGCTCTTACCAAGGTGCAGGCAGCCCACTGTCGTCACTGGCTGAGGCGGCGCACATCGGTGCCGCCCAGACACTCCTTACGTGGTTCATCATCCCCTAGGCTTGTATGTAAAGAAGTACCGATATTCTGTTTAGGATGAGCTCACTTGGCAATATAAGAAAAACAAAACACATGTCAGCCTGTGTTTGAGAAATTTTCCACAAGGTTTGGTGAAGGGTAATGATAATAGTCAACACATATGGAGCACTTACTAGTATTGTGTCATATCGAAACACTTTCTATATTAACTCATTGTGTAAATACATGTTAACTCTTCTAATCTTCACAACAAGCCTGGGGAGTAGATACTCTTACTTTCCTCCTTAAACAGCTGAGGACACCAGTGCACAGAGAGGAAGTGCCTTGCCGGAGTCCACATCCAGTCTAACATCGTTAGAAAATAGCTCATCCAGGATTTGCTCCCAGGCAGTCTGGCTTAAAACATGCACTCCCAACAGCCACCAGCTAGAGTGTATTTATGTGTAGTTAGGCTGGCTTTGATTTTTAAGCGTACAATAAGAAGCTATGTGGTATAGTTAGCAAGGCTTGGTCATAGAAATGTTTTCATTGTGAAAGTTTGCTCAGTTTTGTTTTTCTAAGATAACGCAGTTGCGCTGATAGCATTGCTCGACCCAATCCTCTGAGTAGGCTAATGAGATATTAGTCATGACTTTTAATATAAAAACCTTGGGGAGAGAAAACAGTAAGAGCTGGTCCCAGGGTGAAGGATAAGGGTGGGAGGGAGGGAAGGAGGGAGGGAGGGAGGAGGAGGAGGGAAGAGGCGGTGATGACCAGGAGAACTAGTCTAGCTAGATGGGGTCCAGCCCAGTCAGAGGATGGAACTGCCATGGTTGACAAGTCCTTTATTTTTGGATGATGACCCAAGACCCAATCCAACCCTTTGACTTACTTTCCTGGAGCTTTGACAAAGGTCCTGCACAGTCACATCAACTTCACTAATAACACATCTGCCATCGGTCACATACATCTTGAGGGAAAGAATGCCTGCGCTGTGAGACCATCTTGCCCTGGAGTCAGGGGCGTGAGAATAGGGGCATGGACGGGGTGCTACTTCCTTCCTTATTTGTGTCACCTATTTCCTTCCTCGGTGCTTAGTACGAGGAATAGTCAGATAGAAAAACATGGATGGGTTAGACAGAAAGAGGAGTGTGCCCCTGGGAGTTCACAGAAGCTGAGCTGCAACAAATTATCGCCAGAGGTGGGGTTATAACGCTCTCTAGTGGACACTTTAGGAATTTATGCACTATCAGATTTTGGAGGTGGCAAATTAAGGCAGGGTAAATCCATCAAGGGCAAGGTTATTTAGCAGGAGGTTGGCCCCAAGAGTGTTTGGAAAGCAGGCCCATAGGAGATCACTCTGTGTGTGTGTGGGGGTGGGCACGGTCTGGCGGGGTGGAGCTGTGCGGCCTCACCTAACTTCACCATGCAAAAGTCAGGGAAATGGTTATGGAGCCAAAATGTGGGAGTAGCTGAAGGCAATGACCCAAAGAGACTTCATTTTAAAAAGTGAGAAAGCCCAAGGCTGCGGAGGTAGGAACTTTCCCCATCTCTTGAAGTAGTCTGAATAAGGTGATTTTAATAAGAAGGCACAGCCAGTAACTTTCTAAGCAGAACTGGACGCATGCCTGGCCGTTCTGGATGTCCAGTTAAGCTGAGAAATGCCCTGATTCCCCGGGTTCCCTTGACTCAACCAGAGCAGAGGAGGACCAAGAGGTATGACAGGCACAGGGACATGAAAGGACGTGCTCGTCAGAACGGGGAAATGGAAGGGCTTGGTGGGAGAGGGGTCGATGAAAGCAGGTAAGAGAGGCTTCTTAACGGTGTCTGTTTTTGTCTTTAAATGTGTGGTCAATGTTTTCCCCTTTTACGAAGGCACCACGCTCTTGTGTGTGGATCCCAAAACTTTTTGATATGGTTGGATATACAACTACGTGATTGAAAATTTGTGTTTGAGAATTTAGAAAATATTCTTTTGCCCTAGCCAGGTAGCTCAGTTGGTTAGAGCATCATCCTGACATGCCAAGGTTGTGGGTTCAATCCCCTGTCAGGGCACATAGAAGAATTAACCAATGAATGTATAAATAAGTGGAACAACAATTCAATGTCTCTCTCTCTCTCTCTCTCTCTCTCTCTCTCCCTTTCTTCTCTCTCTCAAATCAATAAGTAAAAAAAAAACTTAGGTACAAATTGGTGGTTCCAAAACAGTCACGGGGATGTCAAGTACAGCATAGGGAATACAGTCAATAATACTGTAATAACTGTGTCAGATGAGTGCTATATAATACTGTAATGTAATATTATTTACATAATACTGTAAATACTGTGTCAGATGAGTGCTAGATTCATCGGGGAAATCACTTCATAAATTATGTAAATGTCTAATAATTAGGTGTACACCTGAAACTAATATAATACTGAATGCCAACTATAACTGAAAATAAAGTACTTTAAAAAATAGAATAATATAAACATCAGTGCCAAAAAAGAACTGTTTATAACTATTTAAATAATACAAATCAGAAAGAATACCAGTGATCAGATTTTATCATAATTCCAATTTTAGAGAATTGTATGATGTAACAGTATTCATAACATCAATCAAAATACCCTTTAATAGCTGTATTACTTCTGTTTATTTAAAAAAAACACCTCAGAAGAAATAAAAATTCAAGCCACAAGCAAGGGGGAAGATATTTGTGACTCATATAACCAACAAAGGATTAATATTTAGTAGATGTAAATAACTCCTATAAAACAATAAGAAAAAGAGAAGCAGTTTAGTAAAAAAAAAATTAACAAAAAGCATTCTCAGAAAAGGAAACTTGTTTGAGGAAAATGCTTAACTTTATTAATAATTGGGGGAGTGCAAATCAAGACTAGAATGAGATACTATTTTACATGCACTCAACTGGCAAAACCAAAGACGCCGCCGCCTTCAGAAGCGGACTTT